CATCAAATTTAACAAAAATTGTGGAGGGTTTATTACTAACATTGTCAACAGAAACTTTTATTACTGTACCTAACTGGCCATTAATTAGTCGATCGCTAATATCCACATTGGTCGTGAGCATAACTCTCGCATTTTCTTTGATCAGGATTTTAGTGTCAAGCCCTCCAGTTTCGGATCTTCCTTTAGACAACACTCTATCGATATCCTGTTTTCTAACATGAGGTGGGAATTGATCTAAAGCTTCTAAAACGTACTGTGGTGATTGAATTTGTTGTAGGCGATCAATATTGTACTCATCTACTGGTGCATTTTCTGCAAAGATGTGTAATGCATCCGATGGATAATTTTCATCCCCTGGAGTTATTGTTCTGGATTGAATACACCTGATGTCATCGTCTGTAGGTGAAGCGGTGCGCACTCTATTTAATAGTTGAGTGAAGGCGAGGTCATCTTTTTGTCTCATGATCTGTGTTAGTTCTGCCATTTTAAAGACATGCCATGGATGGTGTAGATTGAATGTATCATTCTTATAATTTGAAAATGTTGTTGCGCTTCGAATTGGTGGTAGCTGAAAGAAATCTCCGAAAACAAGTACACTGATTCCTGCAAAAAGTTCACTATTAGGTGTAACAAATATTTCTTTCAATCTCTGGTGAATATGCAGCAGACCCATGTTTGAGACCATTGATATTTCATCAATTATGATAAGTTTCAATTCAGCCAAAGACAATCTCATTTGTGTTCTTCTCTGGTCAGACATTGCAGGTACATTATTCCCACATTCTCTTGGAATTGCTAGAGCAGTGTTTACGGTTGTTCCGTTGATATTTATGGCAGCTATACCAGTTGGAGCCATTAGCAATACAGAAGGTAATGCAGGATTCATTGGAGCATGTCTAAATGTTTTTGTAACAGTATGATATATAGCTTTAATTCAGTGTGATTTCCCTGCACCTCCACCTCCAGTAACAAAAACATATATCGGATCTACTTTAGATGGTTTAAGGGTGTTTAGGTTGGCCATCTTATTTCTACACCAGGAAAGAACGACGTCATATGCATACTGACGTTGTTTGTTGTTCAATGATCTTACAGTTTTTCGTAGATCGTCGTCACTGATTTCTAAGGGTTGATTATAAGAACTTATTCCAGAAGATGGTTGAACTGATTCAGGATTTGATGCAAGATGTTGTGGCAACGATTCGTTAAAAGACTCGGTTTCATCAGAATCGTCAGGTAAACTTTGTCGCAAATCTTCATTTTCCTGGTCATTTATTGGATCATAGGAGTAAGTTGGTACGCCATCAAAGTTTCGTAAACTTTCTAGTGCTTCATTAATTGCATCACCATCTGGTTCAAATATTTCTTTGTTGCGTTGTACTACTTCTTGAACATCTGGCTCATAAAACTTAGATATGTATGTCTGGTCTTCGTCAAAGAGTTCCTGCTCATTACGCCACGGAAAATACAACATGAGAAGGTGGTGAAAATATTTTTCAGGCTCTTTTCTTTTGTTTGGAGTGTGATATCGAATGACAGCTTTAATTTTTCTGCACTTTATAATCTCTTTACTGTTTACAAGTTTTATTCGATCGGGAAGTCCAGTGTTATGATTTTCGATATTTTGAGATTCAATGAAGTCATCGCTTAACACTTCAGGTTGAGAATCAGATACTTCGTTAAAATCACTTTTGTAATCTTTGAAATAGTGAGCAGCAAATAAAGCTAAACACATACTATCATTAACGACAGGAACGTTTTTCGGTCTATCACTGTAACGGACAATAATGTTAATGACTTAAAAATGTCAGTACTATCATCATCTAACTCATCAAGTTCTTGTTGTTTCTTCGCAAATCTAACGCGATTTTCAGCAAAATCTGTGCTAACAAAGAGGGTTTTCGGGAATATTTTTCTTAACCAGAGTTCAGGCATACATTTGTAAACACATTCTTGAGCACTGACTTCACGAGTCGAGAGAAAAGCTGCACCTATTTTTCTTAGGCCATCTCTTACATTTAAGTTGGCTTCTTTAGCCTCTTTTGCTGCATTTATGATGGCTTGAGAACATTCAGTTTAATCCTTTGTCAAGTACGTAAGAACAAACGTATGTGATGCACTTATAATGATTAAACACTGGTTGCAAGTCAACATTTGCAGCAAATCCTTTTAACCCAGCAATAAAGTAATTGTTGGTAAAACAACTGTCCATTGGTCGTTTCAGGTGCAATTCATGGTCCGAATCTGGAGATATTGATAAAGCCCATTGATAGTCTTGTTCTGTAATAATATCTATTTCATTTAGAATGTTAATTGAAGTTGCATGTGGGTCATAAGTAGGTTTGCTTGGGTTTAGCACATCGTCAATTTTTTGTTTAACTTTAGACAAAATTTCCCTTCGTCTGGTTAGAATATTGGATTTAATCTCATCATCCATATCTTCAGCCAAAGGTTCAGCAACAATTGTTCTGTCAGTAAAAACTGTCCAAAGTTAAATCTACATGTAACATTCTTATACTTTCTACAGGTTTTACTGTGATTATGTGTCTGGTACGTTTTTACCAAGTCATAAAGTTGAGGATCTGTTTCTTTGTCTGGGAGGTATGCTTGTACATGTCGGTCAATGTAATATATGTATGCATCTTTTGTATCGTTCGTTAATTCTGGGCAATCAGATCTCCATATTAAGTATATTAAGGCATGCAAATATGGTGAACCTCTCATTCGAAATTCGATACGGAGTGCATAATATACTATCTTACCAATTGGATTTGCATTTGTGAGCAAAACATCCCTGAAAAATGTTTCGACTCGATACTGGAAATGTTTAGCTACTATATAACTGGATTTAAATTTAACATTGAGCATCGCTCATGATACGACGGGCCTCTACTTATTCAGTTGTTATGTTGTTGCCTTTTGTCAGGTGGTCTGGGAAGAACATTGCACGTTTGACTACATTCAACTGGTACATTACATATTGCACCTTTAATTTTTCTTTGTTGTCCTTTTGGCATTACTACAATTTTTTCAAAGACTATTCTTTGTGCAATAAAAATTTGTTCAAGTTTCTCCAATGCAGCAAGTTCAGTGGGGGTTTCATCAACAAATAAATTGTTTACCACAGCTTGACAAGGCTGTTGACCTTTAAGTAATTTAGCATGGCAAGTTTTGCAGACGTACTCTTTGCTATCAAAAGAACATTGGGAATATTCAACGTTGGGACTATTGGGAATACTCAACGTTGACAATGTTTTTAAATTGAAAATTGCAATTTTTACATATAAAATCCTTAACAACTTAGTACCGTCAGTTTTTGCAAACTCCATATCCATCGCATCTACCTGTCACTCGTATAATACAAGATTCGCGGCAAATCAAAACTTTAGCAGACCAAAAGCGCGCACAAATTACGGCAAACACACTTTTCCTTTTTCGTCATCCAATATTTGGGAAACGATAGACCTACATATTAAGCAGTCGACTTCAGTTAGAATATTTAAATCTAAATATACAAGAAAACTTATCCTAAGCCAAACGTAGAATCCAGACACTGATCCAGCCACACCAAACACGTCATGTTCTTTTTTCTCAATTATGTAAACAGTCACAAAACAACAATTTTGTAAACGGTGGCCAACTCGAAAGCTTCTCAGCTACTTTGGCCACTGTACACGATATAATACCATAATTAACTCCCTTTTTTCCCCTTCCATTATGATTTTTTTGTGATGTAATTAATGTCTAACTATATCTTTTGTAAACGTGTGAAATAAAATTGAATTGAAATTGAATTGCATAAAACAATCCTGGCGAGGATATTTATTTTTCTGCAGAATTACTACTGACTTTTTATATAATGTTCGGTTACAGACACAGCATATGTAAAATGGGCCAGCTTTAATTTGTTTTTTAAATTTTTCAATGTACATGTCAATGTCATGAGTTTGAGATTTCTTTTCCATCCGTTTTTCTTTCAGTTCTTCTTTCTTTGATTGATCCATTGCTTCATATTTAGCTCTTTTATTCTCCAGTGTTTTTCGCTTTTGTTCTTTACTCCTTTTTGTTCTATAATTTATATTTTTGGTAAGCAGTTCCTCTTTCTTTGATTGATCCAATTCATTATATTTTATTCTTTTATTCTGCAGTATTTTTTGCTTTTGTCCTTTATTCATTGTTTTCTTATAATTCATATTTTTGGTAAGCTTTTCTTCTTTCTTTCATTTATCTAACTTTTCATGTTTTGTTTTTCTGTTTTCCAATATTTTTTTTTTTTCTCCTGAGCCATTTTTTTGTTCTTAATCTGCTTTGTTTCTAGCTTATGTTTCTTTAGAGCTGGTTCAATGAAGTCATTTATATAGCTTTTCCTGTGGTTTTTCATAATCCTTTTTCTTTCACAGACTCACAGTTACTCAATTCAGAAGCACAAGACAAAAATTGAATTTCATAATTGACATTTTCATCCTCGATTTTGGTGGTTACTAGTTTAAAGATAGTATCAACTAAAGTATACTTGTCTTTTATATTTTTAATGTAATGTGCAGTACATGTAGGTGAGCTATCATCATCATCATATGCTAATATTGAGTACGACATATTGTTAATGGATGTCTTTTGAAAGATGCAAGAAATACAATAATCTCCAAACCAAATTAAAAACCCTGTGTTTTCATTAGTATGACAAATAAGGCTTTCAATGTGTAGTTTGATTTTTGCCTTGTCATAAACTACTCCTTGAATATTAGCTTGCAATTTTACATGTATTTCATTTCCACATATTTCAACTTTTTGTGGTATATCACGAGATGTATTTATCCCAGTGTTGTTATACAAGGTCGTACCAAATTAAACAACTGCGGCCACTGTATTTGAATCCCAGTAATTACAAGGTTTAATAACAGAATAACAAATCGAGTATAATGAAATCGCACAGCATTGTCTACATAAACAAGAAACATCAGTACTTTTAGATTCTTCTGAGGCATTACCTGATAGGGCAGAATTTCTAATGCTGTTGTTTAAGTTCTGGTCACAATTGGCTTGTACTTCTTCGATATTTATTCCTCTTAGCTCAAATTGACTGTTTTCACCATATAAAGACTGGAAATACAGAATTACGTTGTTGATATTTGGTGCTTCTAACAGAACACATGCACCTTGTGGATGACTTCTGCCATAAATATCTCTTGAATGAGAGTCAAAAACTATATACTTGCCATCAGTGGTGGAAAATATGCAAACAGCATTGGAGTCAATTGTTAAAATGAATGCAGAATAGTTTTCAGCCAGGAGCAATTCAAATGATCTGTGAAATGGAACACAGTACTGATACCCTTCAATAGAACAGTCTCCAATTACATTACCACTATAGCTCTCACTGTACTCAAAAATATAATCTGTGTCAAATACTGTAAGTTGTGAAGGCAACTCTGTAAACAATAAAAATGATTGCCGTGCTAAACATGATAAGTTTGAATATAATTCATTACCAATATTCATTACATTAACCAGGTCTTGTGGTGAGCATATGTTCTGTCTTTTGTTGTATATAAGGGCACATAAACACATTGCTAAACACTGCTGTCCTGCTGTTTCTCCAAATATAATCTGATTACCTTGGCTATATGGTGCACTGATTGTCTTGCTGGGATCAATATAGAATACGGGTCCAGGATTCGTCTCCGGCAATATCTGTACATAATGCTGACTGGCAGACATTCTTCAAGTGGTTTACATTTTTGTACACTTGTTGTGCATATAAATCACTAGTCGAATCTGATAAATAGAATATATCTGCAAGAATTCCTTCACTAATATAAAATTTTAAATTGTTTGCTGAACAGTTTGTCCGGCATTTCTTGTGAACCTTCATCGGGCAGTTTACATCAGGGAAAGACTTCATCCTAATGTCTTGACATTGCATAATATTCTCTACTATATAATGAAGATGAGAGGATCTGGGTACAGACCTTTTGATCTTATGTCTGAGACGTTTTCTCAACAATCGACTTTTTCCAAACTTCCTAGTTAACCATTTTACCTGTATTCTACTGGGTTCACGGTCACGGTGACGTAAATGGCAACCAGTGGTAGTAAAGTCAGTAACATGCTTTTGTTATAAAATAATGCATATCGTGATCGCACCGGAAGCCTGAGTTTCTTTATACGCATAGGATTGAGCTTTGAGTCCTTTGACAGACCTGTTACTTCAATATTCTGGTTATTCAATTTAGAAATACAGTTGTTAGATATATTTATACCTGGCATACATTGATCTGTGCCTGTGGACACATTCTTGTTTTCCCTATCATCTTTGCTCAAAATTATTGACAAATTCTTGGTTGGTAGCTGTTCAGACGATATCGCATTGTGCATGTTCTTTGTAGCCTTTCTACTGGCGGCCATGTTGACCATGTGCTCGTTAACAGTACAGCAACTTGATTGTGAGTTAATTACGTTTGTTTTTCGTAAATTTGTCTGTGTATTATTCGTCATTTCAGTAGTACTTTTGTCACATTTTTGTTCACTTTTTGTATAATATTTTTGGCAACTTTTTGTGTATTTTTGGCAATTGTTTATGCAAGTTTTTACGTACCCGAAGGTATTTTTTGATTCGTCGATAATCGACCCGGTTCAAAATCGCTCAGCATCTTTTAGTGTAGGTCTACCACGAATAGATCACATTCACTTACCGTAAACATCGGTGAAAAGATCGCTTTCTTCCCAAAATCACGCAATGCAGCCAAACGTAACTTGCGATTTGCTGATGTCAATTTTGGTAAAATTTCTTGTAAAATTGTTCAATTTTCCCGAATTTTCCTCAAAACGCAGGGTTTTTTATGGATAATTTGGGTAAAAATTGGCAGGAGCCTTATCGATAATTTGGGTGAAAATTAGGCAGCTCATTAATATTCTATTTTGTGGCTATCGACGATCGGAGATTGGAGAACCATGCCGAAACCTATACTCGCCTGGGCACAGGTGCCCCAGCGAGTAATAAACATGCATGACAAACATTCATGTGTCATGATTAACCAATGAAATAACAGATATTCAACGACGTTTGCATTAATAAGGCATTCCTTGGTAAAATATCAGTATGTAGTATAAGCTTTCACATTTCGCTACAGTATAAACTGAACCAGGTCGTTTAATACCAAAGCACAACTAGCAGAATAAGAAACGAAAGTGGTTCAATACCAAAGCACAAAGCCGCAGTATGGCACCGGCGCAAGATTCTGCTCCTGTGAAGGCAACTGCAATGGGAGACGCCGTTAGAGTGCTCGATATATGCACTGAAACACTGACTTTAATAACCACGGACGTTGTCATACTTTGTGCGACAGAGATCGTTGAATGTCCAGTACGCCGAACCGAATTTCACGTCAAAGAAGGAGAAAGCGTCGAGAGCATTCCATCAAACCAATTTATCAAGAATATACTGGAATTACTCACTCTGAGCCCAACGTATTAAATGGCAGCCATGCTAAAGATCCTGCTACCAGTAGATGCATGTCATTTGAGAATTATCTGTGTGGAAAATGTCGAGAATGTCTGTTTCTGAAGACCATGTCGTGTTGACGTTGGAAGAATTAGCAAAGCCACAAAACCGAGCGAAAGCAAGAATCAAACCACGTTGTGAGAAACACCGCGAGAAAGACGATAAAGCCCTCAAGAGTCAAGTTCTATATATACTTCTATTGCGAAACGTGCAAAGTTCGTCAGCACGTTTTGAGTATTTGTGTTTCCCCTTGGCAGACGTTGTTGACTTGTTGACCAACACAAAGAGGCATTGAAGACATCGTTCACCAATTTTTAAGCAGCTAAAGATAGACGCTGTTGAAATCAAACTGAACATACAACACGCTATAGAGACTGAGATCCTAAATTAAGAATAACAAAGCGAAGGCCATATTAAGACGCCATCATGAAGAAAGAACAGGAAAGCCTGAATGCATTTACCATATGAAGCTCGAGAATGAAACGGTGTCATGAAAAACGAAAGTTCCCTGGATTTTGCCAAGAATATCATCTCCAATGAAAGCGATGAAGAAATCCTTCGATGCATCACACGACACGAGATTGAAGAAAATTTAAGCTGGGCCGGGTATGGAGAAGGAACGACTAGAGTGGAACCAGTTCACAATGGCGCCATTGAATATCAAGCAAGAGCAAGCAAAGGTGTCCTCGAGAATGTAAAGTTGAATGACTTAGGAGTTAGGGAAATGATTGGTACAGAAATATTAATATTGGTACACAGCTTGTAATTAAGAGAGAATTAAGAGAGCAACTGTTTTTATTTAGAATTACTGTGTTCTAAACCCTAAATCGATGTCACAAACTGTGTTCTAAACCCTAAATCGATGTTCAACTACTGTCCGTAACAAGTGTAAGACTGTAAGGCCCGTTTTATACGTCGAATTTTGGTCGCGTCGAATGCAATTAAGACAATAGATAATCAGATGATAAACCTCATTAATTAAGCTTCATTATCTATTGTTTAAATTGCATTCGAGGCGACCGAAATTCGACGTATAAAACAGGCCTAAGATAATCAAAATAATAAATTTACTTTAAAAGATTTGCATAATTTTTTTGCAAGAATGTCAATATGAATGGAGAAAAAGAAAAAAATCTATATGAAGTACTATAGAATCCTCAACAGGTAAGTAATGCGGGCGCGTATAAGGTAATAGTATAATTAATTGCTGCCAAGCGGCAGCGAGGCAGCACACTATTCTTGACATCTATGAAACTCGCGCCAGTCTCCTTTCCCGAAATATATAAGTATATATATATATATATATATATATATATATATATATATATATATATATATATATATATATATATATATATATATATATATATATATATATATATATATATATATATATACCGTATATATATATATATATATAATCTCGATTTTAGCGACCGATGTAGGATGTTCAGTTTTATTCATTTTCGTGAATTGACATATCTTTACCGCACTGAACTATCCGCAATAAAACAAGACGCTCTGTTCATTCAGCGTTTATAGTCGCTGGGATTTATATTAAAGTAGAGGCCTATTGTCCGATAGTAGATTCCTGCACAAATTTGACGAGAGGTGGAAGTAAGTCTAAAAGTATGAAATTCGTTGATTTTAGTACGCACTATCATCAAATCTTTATTGTTTAATACTATAACACTGACATACAGTTAGGAGCACGTTAATATAATTATAACAGCCAAATTAATATAACTTTCGATACACATAAATTTTGAAAGTTTAAAACCATTATACTCAAATATTATAGGCCTCAGCCTCACAACGGCTGTCTTCTACGACGGCATGCACGCAGTTACAAAATGTTTGTTTTTCAACTCATGTTCGTGGCAAGGTCCTCGGTAAACCTTATTCAAAACGAATAGATAGCGCGCAAATCACAAAAAACATCATACAATAATTTATCGTACGTTACCTCGATCGTTCTTTAAAAACCTTATTCAAAACGAATACATAGCGCGCAAATAACAACAAACATCAAACAATAATGGTCAACCGCCATGAGATCTTGTTGTCTAACCTCAGAAACTATGAAATTCACGGAGTTGCCTACAAATGGTTCAAGTCATATTTGGAAGACCGCAGGCAGAAATGTTTTGTTAAGGTTACAGGACACCCTTTTTGGCGTTTTGCGGAAAATCGCTACTGCGCGCTCAAAATCAGTCCGATTTTCATCAAATTTTCACCAAACGTTAGCCAGTACATACAAAATACGATAAAGTTATAAAATTGACAAACAATAAAATAATGTAAGAATTATTCAGGAAAATCTTAAGTCATGGTACCTTTACGCTTTTGAGTTATGTTCCTGCTGGTTTTAAGATATGTTTATGAAAATATCATATTTATACAGTAAAATAGTTGTTCTAAAAAATTGTGTTCGGAAATTTTTGTTTATTTCGCATTCTTCCGCTGATATGGCTGGCGGTTTCTTTGACGACTGCAATATATTTCTGAATTGTTTGTGTGAATTGCTCCTTATTATTAAAATATCCAAAATTAGAACAAAGACGAACACAATTTTGAAACTGACGTCTTTAGCTATGTCCTGTGAAAATTTGAGAAAAATTCGTTAAAACCCGCAGGAGCACAACTCGTTTAATAATCAGTAATTACCGTAAAATTCTTCGGGAGAAAATTGAATTTGAATATTACATTTTCAATGTTTTTCTTATTGCAAGCGAAATGTATTTTATTAAATAACTCTGCGAGTTTTCAACATTTTTCGTCCAAACTTGGTCAAATAGTAAAACTAGTCTAATGCTTTCATGGAAACCAATAAAAAAATTTGGGCAAAATTAACACTCAAAGGTGTTCTGTAACCTTAACGGGGCACTTTTCAAAAAATGTAGTCTTAAGTGCGGAATTCCTCAAGTAACGATCCTAGGACTGCTCCCGTTTCTGGTATTTATTATAAATGATTTACCAAATTGTTTATCGAATTCTCATCCCAGATAGTGTCGGATTAACCATATGGCAGAAGCGGCATATGCCACGGGCTCGGCGCTTTTGGGGCCCCGCGCTTACTCTCCTCTATTTTTTTTTCCATGCTTCAGTGCGAGACCCAAACAGTGCGACAGTGCGGGGCCCTAAAGAGCCCAAGTCTCCCAGAAAACGCGAGGGCCCCAAAATTTAAAAATCGAGGCCCCATCAAGCTGGGCCCAAACGTTTTTTTCGTTCCCTGTTTCAGTGTTTCAGCCTAGCGGGTGGCCCCAAAGAATTAAAACGTCAGGCCCCAAAATTTAAAAATCGAGGTCCCAAATAGCCGGGCCCAAAACGTTTTTTTTGTTTCCTGTTTCAGCGCAGAATCCAAACAGCGCGGGGCCCCAAAGAGTCCAAGGCCCCTAAACGCGAAGCCTCCAAATAAAAAAAAAAACACGAGGCCCCAAAGTTTAAAAAGGGAGGCTCCAAAAGTAGGGCCGCAAACAATTTTTTTTGTTCCTTCACTGCGCAAGGGGCTCCAAAGAGCGAGGCGAAAAAAATCATGGGGGTCAAAAAATATCAAATGTGCTTGGACAAAGCGTGCCTATTATCAGTGACATTGCCCACCAGAATCCACTGGATTTTGAAACCACCCGCGCTAAATCCCGAGCAATGAGTAGAAACTCCTGCTGCGCCTCTTTTATTAAGCAGAGCGAAGAAATTGATCAACTGAAGGCTGAAATAGTTTGTCTCAAGAAGTCGGTGAAGTCAAGTGAGTATATGCATGCAAATTAACCGCCTGCAAAACGACAACTCTAGTTTAATCAAAACAGTTGAAATGCTTACAAATCAACTTCTAAATTTGAATACGGTTGATGCAAATATTGATCCCAGTTCTCAAGTATCGAAGGAACCCGCCCCTAAAGTGTCGAAAAAGCAGAAAAAGAGTCAGAAGAAGAAAATGAAGGCCAAGGAGGGCATTGAGTTGGCAGAGAAAAATGCTTCCCGCCTCGTCAAGAACATGCTGTCTCTACCAGCGGTATGGAAAAAGTGAATGACGATGTTGCAGCTACCACGAGCAAGAATAAAGCAAAAGAAGTGGTGGTAATTGCTTTTGATTGACTAATTAAGAATGTTGTCGGAGCAAGCATGAGCAAGACAGACAATAATTACTATTACGTCGTCAAAGCATTCCCCGGTGCAAATCTTTCTGATATGGAAGATTTCGTAAGTAATTTCAAAAGTAATTGCCGATTCATTACTGAATCTGACGACCCAGATAAAGGAAGACTCGCCAACTACTGCGGTAGGTGTATCAGCTTTATTGACCAGAAATGATAATGCAAACTTAGCCGGCACTAAAGTTAAACAAGTTAACTTTATCCTAGATAATTATTGTCGTATGAATAAGTCTCACTTGAACAATAAAGGTCACATTTAAATAAACAAGGCAGCGAATCTCTACAAAACAATTTTATTGAATTTACTAACAATTTTAATGAATGACTTATTACAGTAATGTTGCTGAGTCTCTAGGTAATGCGAATGCTGTCAATTCTACTTATGGCGACATAAATCCGCTTTTACCTAAGATGAGTGGTTTCAAAATTGCGTCACTTAATATAACTAGTTTAGTAAAACACATTGAGGAACTTCAAATTTTTCTAGCCGATAATATGATTGATGTTTTGGCTATCAATGAGACAAGGCTTGATTCTGCGGTCAGCGATAATGAAGTGCACATACATGGCTATGAAATTGTTTGCCGCGATGGAAACTTAAATTGACGGTAGATGCGGTGGTGGTGTTCGTTTTTATATACGAAGTTGCATTAATTTTTCGGTACGATACGATTTGAAATTTGATGAGTTGGAAAATTTATACATTTCAATCAATAAACCTAGATCCAAGCCATTTCTCATAGTGACATGGTATAGGCCACCAAATTCGGTCGTGGAAAAGTTTAATCACCTAGAAACGCTACTAGGCAAACTTGATGCTGAAAATATTGAGTACTATCTAGTGGGTGACCTGAATTGTGATTTAAGCTCTACAGTCTTGGATCATAGTTCAAGGTTGCTCATTGATATTGCTGAAACATACAATCTTCAACAACTGATAACTGAACAAACTCGAATCACAAATTCATCGTCAACATTGATAGATCACATTTTTACAAACGCTCCTGATAGAGTGGTCTGCTCTGGTGTCTCTCACATTAGCATAAGTGATCACAGTCTTGTTTATGCCTTTAGAATGCGGACAAGAGGACATACTATAGTAAGCTATAGAAAGTTTAAAAACTTCGATTCTGCTCAGGGGTTATTCTAAGGATAATTTACAACTCCAGTAAATAAAAGAATTCTGCCACTTTGTTGAAGTATTAAGCCTTAAGGAGAAGATCTACTGTATCGACCTGCATTATCCCTGAGAATAACTAGCACGGCTAATTATTTTTTTTTGAATTTGGTGTGGTCTTCATCTTACTTATTCTCCAGTTACACTGTATGTGACTCTGTCACAGCAACTGTTAGTCACTTTTCGGTGTGGTGACGTAAGACCCAACGAATACGGTACACCTGTTGATGAGGTAGGTAAGAGGTAATATACCTTCAGGACATAGGTTCTTATTGGGTCAATGGTGGGGAAATTAATTAGGTCTTGAAAGAAGGACATTTGTACTAGTTATTATATAGGCTTTAGTGCACAATAATTCCATATTTCCTATAAACTGATGACATACTTCATAAACTATAAACGACCTTCGAATGAGTTTCGCTCAGTCTCAGGTCAAATACTTTGCCATTTAGCAGTCACAATTAATATTATTTTACTTCTGTTTCTTTATAAAAATACATAAAATGTTTCCCCTGCTGACAGAGCACTAAAGTGACAAAATCTATCAACGTATCAAACTGATAAGAGATAACGACGAATAAAATCATGTAAAATCATGTAAATATTGAACGAAACTGATTTGTCAAGAAGAACTTCTCAAAAAGTCTCTGCTACAATAGATGTCAAGAGTGGAATCTTCTACTATAATACTTCTTGTGAAAATTCAAAGGAAGAGCCTGATATAATCAACTTTCCTTGAAAGAAATTGCCCTTAGTATTCCACGAGAAAGGCGAGTTCATCACCTTTTTGTGACCGCCTTAAGAGATGTAACAGCGGTGAAGAAAGAAATTATTTATTGCATTTTGGAATTTCTAGATCAGAGATTTGGACATTTGGTGTTGATCAGAAGATATTGAAAGTAGTCAAACCCTTTATTGCTTTAAAGCCTGATGCTGATATCAAAGAATTCCACGAAACAATACTGTATGTTCAGATTTACCGTCAATAGAACTTTCTCTAAAATTTAACAGCATTGTAACATCACCAGAGCTGATACGTACTCTCCAAAACCTACGTTTAGCTCAGATGGGACAGTATTTGGCACGCAAATGAAACATTTACCCCAATATTGTCATAGCCCTTGCCAGAATACGGGCAGCAAAACCTCGCTCGTGCGATGATGAAAGGTTAATCAGTGCATGTAACCTTATAAAAACATCGCTGAGGAATTCTATTGATGTCGAAACACAAAATCTTTATCTATACGTTCACTTCAATATGCCAACTCTTGAGGAATTGGATCGAAGAATGTGTGTTGTAATATGGCTGCAACAAAGGGAACGCAAAAACGAAGAACTGACAAAGCACGCTATCAACAATGGGTCGAAGGTGTGTTTAAAGAAGCAGCTGAGAAGAAAGAACACACAAGACTGAGTCAAGAGACGACATAGTGGATCAACATGTAGAACAAAATAAGAAGGCCAAACTGTTTTGAACAAAGCTTGGCTTATGGATAAAAAACACTTATAACTTAACTTCTCTGATTTACACTTTTAAACTGCAGTACATGTTAGCTTTATACGTTAATGAATGTGACTTCTGGAATGTGATATATTTTGAATGTGCATGTGTTGAGTTGGAGACTAAATTATCAATATTATATCAGTCACAACTCCAGTGTTTTTCATTTGCAACTCCAGATCTTTTTTTCCAATTCCAGAAAGACCTAGCAAATCCAGTTTAGAATGACCCCTGATTCTGCTAAATTTCGCAATGATATTAGTCAGCAAAACTGGAACTTTATCCATCAATTTAAGAATCCTAACGATATGTGGCATGCTTGGAAAAACACATTCAATTTTGTTGTAGAAAAGCATGCTCCTCTACGCACAAAGCGTGTCAAGGCCTCTAAAGCGCCTTGGATTTTATCTCACTTGAAAGGTGAAATGCACAAAAGAGATATTCTTAAAATCAAGGCAATCCGGTCTAAAGATCCTTTGGATTGGCTTATTATTTTTAAGAAAATGCGAAATTCCGTAAATCAAAATATTGTCCGGGCGAAGGAAATCTATTTTAAACGCGCGTTTTTTGAAAATAAATGCAACTCGAAAAAGACCTGGAATATTATTAATGATCTCACATCTAAAAAGCTCGCATATTCACGAAGTTGATTTGAATGGTAATTTGATTAACGATTCCAATAAAATTGCTGATGCATTTAATTAACACTTTCTAACATTGGTCCGAAGCTTGCAGATAATGTAGATGTTAATCAGAACAATCGTTGTTATCTCGATTATTTACTTAATCAAAATAACAACATCCCTTTTCAATTAAAAGAAACTAATTTCTCTGCAGTTTTCGTCCTTTTGTCCAAGCTAAGTAGGTTAAAAGCTACTGGTCTGGACAAAATTTCGTCCCGACTACTTCGAGAGTGCCCTGATTTAATAGCGGAATCTCTTAGCTACATTTTTAATCGATCAATTGTCTCAGGAATATTCCCAGATGAGTGGAAACACGCAAAAGTTGTCCCAATACACAAACAAGGGAAACGTAATCGCCCTGACAATTATCGTCCGATTTCCATTGTCTCGGCAGTGGCTAAGGTTTTCGAAAGGATAATCTATGATCAGCTGTATTTATTTCTATCTGAAAATAATCTGTTAAGTTGTTAACTAATTGTCAGTCGGGATTTCGTGGTCTACATTCTACTGTTACTGCCCTTCTTGAGGCCACTAACGATTGGGCTTAGAATATCGATCATGGAAGCGTAAATGCTGTCCTGTTTCTTGACCTCAAGAAGGCGTTTGATACCGATACAATGGTGTTGCTGGCAATTGGTTCAGATCATATCTCAGTGAACGGAAACAAAAATGTTTCGTTAATGGTCATTTTTCGACAAATCGTTTACTCCATTGCGGAGTTCCCCAGGGAACTATTCTGGGGCCACTTTTATTCTTAATCTATATCAATTATCTCCTGAATTGCCTTTCTCACTCACTCACGTGCACGCATGTATGCAGACAGCACTCATTTGACTTACGCAAGTAACGATATTGATGACATTAATCATTACTTCAACGAAGATCTTGCTAAAGTCAGTGAGTGGTTAGTAGCTAATAGACTTACTTTAAACCAATCTAAAACAGAATTTATGCTAATTGACTCTCGTCAAAGGATTAGTACTTTCAACTCTAGTCCTTCACTGACATTAAATGACGTTCCATTTAAACAAGTCTCTCACACAAAGTCACTTGATGTACATATAGACGAGAACTTGACTTGGAATGTTCATATTGAGGAATTATGCAAAAAGGTCGCTTCTGGCATAGGTGCATTAAAGCGTATAAGGCCATTTGTCCCACCTTCCACAATGCAACTTATTTACAATTGCTTAGTTCAACCCTATTTCGATTACTGTTGCGTTGTTTGGGATAGTTGCGGCAGCACTCTTGGGAATAAACTGCAAAAACTCCAAAATGGAGCCGCTAGAGTACTTACTTCATCTAATTATGATACAAATGCTGAATATCTAATTGAAAAACTGAGCTGGAAAAACCTTGAATCTCAGCGAAAAATTGCCAAAGCTATAATGGTCTATAAATCTCTGAATGGTTTTGTACCAGACTACCTATCTGTAATGTTTGTTGATCGAAGTATAGCGTAACAAATTATACATTGAGAGACACCAGTAGAAAATTAGCTTTATCTCAACCACGCACAAATTACTTGAAAAATAATTTTAGCTATAGTGGTTCTGTGCTGCGGAACTCCCTTCCGGTTGAGTTGAGATAGTCTAACTCATTACGTAAATTCAAGTCAGACTGAAGGAACTTTATACATTAGTCAATAACTTTAAATTTTTATATTAATATATTAGCACGGCACTTATGGAAAACAGGTATTCTTGTATTAAAATCTATATATGTATATATAATTAGTATCTTAATTAACTTTTGTATTCTGTAATCTGTAACTATTGTATTCTATTATCATCTTTCATGTAAAATCCTGACAAGTCTACCGTGGGTAAATAAAGTTCACAACACAACACAACACAACACAACACAACACAACACAACACAACACAACACAATTAACACAACACATTTTGATTATTGTAATGTCGTGTGAGGAAATTGTGGTAAAACTTTATCTAACAAACTTCAAAAACTTCAAAACCGTGCAATGCGGGTGTTGACCTTTTCCAACTTTGACGCCGATGCCAATAGCTTATTCGAAAAGCTAGCGTGGGATGATCTAAACCAACAACGCCAATTTCAAAAAGCGTTGATGGTTTTCAAATCTTTAAATAACCTTGCACCCGAATAGGCCGTATTCAGTGCGTGTGGCACGAAAAGTCGCTTAGAAAATCAATTCCGTTGCCCGGGTTCGGGCACTACTTTGAAACAAGATAAATAATTAGGATAAATCATACAAAGTCCAAATCCGCTTGTAGGCACTTCTCAAAACCTGCAGTTTTCGAGTATTTCGTCTTCGAAAATTCAAGAAATCAACATCTTTCGCAATCGATCGCCGCCATTTTTCTCCAGGATACTTGGTGTAATTAATAAACACTATAAATGGCGATTTTCGCGGGCTCACACTCGTTCTTACATGACGTTTCCAGCTTAGCATTTGTAAACATGGCGTCTTCTGACTCATGTTTCAGCCGTTCCGCACGTTGTAACCAATAATTTATTGGCGTTGTAATGCCATTGTATGCAATAAAGTATTGGGTTGTAATGGGTCTACAATTAATCCAAACGTTAATCCTAATCCAAACCCTAATCCTAACCCTAACCTCTAACCCCTAACCCCACCTCCTAACCCCTAACCCCACCTTCTAACCCGTAAGAATGTTACAAGGTTGACGACACAAGGTTGTAACAATATTGTTATATCATGATTGTATCGGACTTGTTGGAACAACCTTGCAACAAGCCTGACAATGTCAACAAGTTTGAAACAAGCTGTTAACAACTTGTAACAACCTTGTTGACTTTGTTTCGGACAAGCAGTGCGAAGACAACTTGATGACGACTTGTTGACAGACTTGCTACAAGATGTGAGATTTTTGCGTGTGTACGAGTGCGGCAACTAAATCACAGAATGCCCACGTGTTACCATGCGTTTGTATAATTTGCAAATCAGAAAAGTCGTATTTCACTGAGTCGGTAAGTTTATTGATTTTTTTTACAATTATTGTTATTTTGTTTATATATTGATTGCATTGCGCATGCCTTTAGCCGTTCCCGTTATAACGGTTGTGTAATTTTCATGCATGGGTTTTTTATTATTTAGAAGTCAAAGAAGCGAAAGATGGTAAACTGAAAGAAGCTGCAACAAAGAAAGCTTGTGATTTTGATTCAAATTGCTGATAAGGACCTAGTAGCATTGGAAGTGACATGCCAAAAACATTGTTACGAAAAGTACACAATGTGTACTTTTCATAACAATGTTTCTGTCATGTGAAAGGTTTCCACAACTTCTTTTCCATAGACGAAAGGTACGAAACAAGACTGAGTGAAATTGTTTATGCAGAGTGCCTCGATCAGTCAAGCAAGTGTAGCAAAAGGTTTTATGGAAAAAATAGAAATCACACAACCGTTAACTATAACGGGAGCGGCTAAAGGAAATTCAATCAATATATAATTATAAAACACATATCAGCACCACTAATATATTAATACCACCAAGTGAAGTGCAAGAAACCAGATCATTGAAATCCACCTTATCACAACCCGCACACCCGATTACTTATATACACGAACTTACAGCTCAACAGCTGGCCTCTGTAGCTCAGATGGTTAGAGCGCTGCACCGGAATCGCAGGGCCGTAGGTTCAATTCCTACCAGAGGACCTTGTGCTGCATTTTTCGCAGTCGTTCACTTCTTGGTTTGCAGGTCTAAAATGTATATATAATCGCAATAATGTAACTCCTTATATACTTCGAGACTCCATGAACAAACTTGCTGCACCTTTACCCCGCACCGAATTTATTTTACCGTTACCCCGCATCGAATATGATGTTTCAACAATAGTCGAAATTCACTAAGAGATTTCGCTTGTCTTATATTGCTAGGTAAGCTGTTCCATAACACTGCACCACTATAGCTAAAGCTATTTGGTGCTTTTTTATGGAACAGCTTACCTAGCAATATAAGACTGAGTATAAGAAATATAAGAAAAAGTTGAATTAATTTGTTTCATGGACATTAGCACTTGCAGATTATTTTCAGGACAACATTTTTCACGAAGACAAAGGGCACTTTGCCGGACACTTTTTGTGTCTTCTGAAAACTTGGGGGGCCTAGCCTTGGCTCCCTTGCCCCCCGGTTCCTACGCCCCTGATTATATTATATACTTTTTGTATACATATAATTATTGAATCGTCAATTATTGACACGTGGTGGTTGCTCCAGAGTCCACTCTACCCAGTCTTTCGCGCGATCTATGTATAGTCGACATCTCGATCTTGTGTCCGTCTGTAAAGATGTCGTAATCCGGAGGGAATAATTAAAAGCTTCAGGAACGTTTGTTAAATGAGGGGAGCGGTCAAAACAAGATTTTGTATTGCGCACGCATCTCCATGTGCTCAAGATTTTTCAAGCTTTTAAATACGGATGCAACTATGCAAGTGATAGAAAATATTCGGGAAAATTTAGGTAAGTATGGCTCTATTTCTTTCTTCTTATATACATCAAGGCGATGATCTTTTTAGTGTTCGTTCAATCTAGAGGCAAACAATGTGCTTTTATGAGTTTATCGGCACTTTTAACTGCCCAAAATATACCACTGATCGATTGGTCAAAAACAACATTGAATAATGTCTTATTACAAGGAGACAAAATTTACTTGCAAGCTTTGGATAGTGGCTTTGTTGTCTTAGAACCTGGTGTCGAACTTATGTCTGTAGATAACTTACCTAAAGTTGTCAGTGTTTCATGTTGTACGAACATGTTTTCTTACGAGATATGTGAATCTGTGATCGACACACGTAATATGCCAGCTGTAGTGCATGCGAAAACAACTACAACACATGTGAATCCTTTTGATGCACAAAATACGACACTATAAAGCCCATTGAGGCAAAAAATATCGATCTGCCTGTTGTGGTAGAGCCCATTAATTGAGGCACAAAACAAAAGTGATCTGCCCATTGTGGTAGAGCCCATTGAGGCAAAAACTATTGATCTACCCATTGTGGTAGAGCCCGTTGAGGCAAAAACTATTGATCTGCCCATTGTGGTAGAGCCCGTTGAGGCAAAAACTATTTATCTGGCCATTGTGGTAGAGCCCGTTGAGGCAAAAACTATTGATCTGCCCATTGTGGTAGAGCCCGTTGAGGCAAAAACTATTGATCTGCCCGGCCATTGTGGTAGAGCCCGTTGAGGCAAAAACTATTGATCAGCCCATTGAGGCAAAAAATATTGATCTGTCCATTGTGGTAGAGCCCATTGAGGCACAAAATAACATTCGACTACCCATAAATTATGGAAAAGAGCTTCAAGGTCTTGTTATAACCAACCAAAAAATTGCGTCGCATTACTATGACATTCACACAGCACTTTTGAATGTGTTTTCAAATTATAGTTTTGCTATTTTAATATTAGAAGGCTATATGATGGCATTGATAAAGCAAACAGATTTTTTCTATTTATTTGACTCCCATGCCAGAGACTCTAGTGGCATGCCTGATCCTAATGGCACTGCTGTTGTCATGAAATTTGCTAATATTCTAGGGTTAGAACAATATCTGTATTCAATGACATTGCATACCAATTCATTTGAAATTGTACCTGTGCAATTAAATATTAAACATGTACGTAAAGCTTCAGAGCAAAAAAGTAAGTGTGTAAAAGATCGAGAGTATCTTCAGAAAAAGAGGCTTTTGGTAGAAACTGAAGGCGATAAACAAGCTAGACTTAAGAAAGCTAGTGAGTATAAGAAAAGAAAGCAGTCAGAGGAAACTGACAGCTAGTCAGCAACAAATAAGACTTCAAAAATTAAGTGAGTCTATTAAACAGAAACGCTCAGAGGAAACTGACAGTGAACGACAAATTAGACTTAAAAAAGATAGTGAGTCTAAAAAAAGAAAGCGGTCAGAGGAAACTGACACCAACAGACAAATGAGGCTTGAGAAAGAAAGACTTTATAAAAAACAAAAGCGGGCAAGAAAAGTGTCACAACTTCAACATGAAATAAATCAACAGGATTATTTAAATATGTTTGACAACACCAATAATGGTGGTATTGTAGAGCAATGTTGGGCTAAGGCTAACATTAATAAGTTTAATAAGTCTGTGCAATACAATGTCAGTCAGTGTACAGAATGTCAGGAGGCATGGCCTTTGAAGTCTAAACCAAGGACACCTTACATGTGTTCCCGATGCTCCAGAGATAAAAAATCTCCTAAAAAGTTCTCTTGTGAAAATTCAATGATACCTTCATCTGTTCCACATGAATTGCAGAATTTAACTCAGATTGAGGATTAATTGCTCGTGCTTTGCCTATCATGAGAGTTTATATTAAACCTGGCGGTCAACGAGGTTATTCGGGGCATTGTATTAACCTGCCACAAAATGTCAAAAAACTCGCATTATCTTTGCCAAGATATCCTAAAGACTTGGCTGTGATTATTGTCAAGGCTAAAGGAAGAGAAAACACATTCAGAGATGTGACAGTGCGAAAGCAAAAAGTGCATGATGCTTTAGTTTGGCTTATCAATAATAATCCTCATTATTCTGAGTTATTAATTAATCAAGATGCATTAAATTCATTACCTGAAAATGGTGTACCACCAGGTCTTATGACTGTTGAGACTGATGATGATATAGTCTCAGATGACAATGGTTCTCCTGATGTAGGTCCCCCGACTGATAATCCATCAGAGGATATTGTTTATAATGAATCTACTGAAATGAGCAGCTTTTTACCTGTTGGCGAACAACAACAACAGGAAATTGAAGCTGTTAGAAATCAGCTGTCTGAAAATGAGCCAATACCAAGGCCCTCAGTTGAAAATGAACCATTAAATGAATATCAAATTTCACATCTGGCCACAATGGCTTTCCCAACATTATTTCCAGATGGGAAAGGTGATCCTACTAATCAAGGACTTCTGAGAGATGTCCCTCTTCAGGAACGAATAAAGCATCTTCTAAAATTTGCTGAAATTATTGATGGTAAATGGGTATACCGTTTTGCTAATCACCCCAGATTTTCATATTGGGCATTTAATATGATTCAAAGAAAACGAATTTTACAACAAAGTGGAATATTCCTCAAACAGAACCCAGGTGAAGCTCATCTCACAATTGATGAACTGCGTGAATGGCTGCCAGTAACAACGCTAATATATTTATGTCTAAAGTGTCAAGATATGTTGGCAATATTGCAGGTACTAATGCTTACTGGAATAGAGTAAGAAAGGAACTCAAAGCTATCATAACTAGTGTTGGAGCACCAACATTATTTTTCACTTTCTCCTCTGCAGATATGCATTGGCCTGAGTTACATGCTTTATTTAATGCTGATACCGACAATGAGTTAGGCAACTCTACCAGTGAGGTAAGACGACAAAATGTGATCAACAATCCCCATCTTGTAGATTGGTTTTTCACACAAAGATTAGAAAGCTTTGTAAACCACTGGCTTTATGATACACTCGGTGCAAAATGGCACTGGTTTCGATATGAATATCAAGGTAGAGGTAGTATCCATTGTCTTGGCACTGCTAAACTAAATAATGACCCAGGTTTGTGTCAACTTACTCAGACTGCCTTGAAAGGTTTCTTAGCTCAAAAATTTAAAGATGAAAATGATTGTTCTGACACAACTGAACTAGACCAGGATATTGAAGCTGGTCAGAAAGCAGCTGACACAGTGTGTCAGTATGTTGATTGGTTATTGTCAACTGTCAATCCTAATCCACCAGATGAGGATATGTGGATAAGACCTGAGGTTCATCCATGTCAAAGAAGCTATGACATTCCTGAGCATGAAAAACAAACAGATTATGTAGATCTATTAAACATGGTTCAACGACACACTCGTTGTAGTACAAATTATTGTCTTAGAAAGAAGTCAAATGAAACAGAGTTGAAATGTAGATTTCACTTCCCTTTTGATATTTGTCCTAAGACAAAATTAGAATTTGAAAAAATTCACACTTCAGGTGATAATGAGCATTATCGGGCTAAAATTGTGACTAAACGAAACGACTCAAGGTTAAATAACCAACAACAACTTCAGCTCCAAGGATGGAGAGCTAACTGTGATATTCAAGTTGTTATTGATCACTATGCTTGTGTTGAATATCTCACAAAATATGCAGCTAAAGGTGAGCCAAGATCACCTATATTGAAACAGGCATTCAATTCTATTGTGCAAAATGTTGACAGTAATACTGACCCTCGCAGAGTTATTAAGAAGGTAGTTATGAAATCTCTTGGTGAAAGAGATTATGCAGCTCAAGAGACAATGCATCATTTGTTGTCTTTAAAACTCCATAGCTCATCCTTTAAAGTGATGCCAGTTAGTCTAAATGGTTCACGTAGAGTGCGTGATACTGCAAGTATTGAAGAGGGTGAATCATGCACCGATTATTCACTTCATGATGTGTATGCTAATCGTGAACAGTATGACAGTTCGCAAGATATAATAAATATGAACTTTGTTCAATTTGCTACAACATACAAAGTTGTTAACAATGAACTAACAAAATTGCCAGAGAATGTTATACCACGAATATTTCCAACATATTCTCCTAATCCCAAAGGTCCAAATTTTGGCCTATATTGTAAATATCAACTTTTGAGGTATAAACCGTGGAGAACAACCCAAAATAATGCATGGGCCAGGGTGACCAAGATCCAACTGGTGAGGTTCTGATCAATTGTTGGCATGAATTTTTACAAACGCCTTATGGCCAGTCTAATGTCCCAGACTGGTTTGATAAATTACAAGCTGTCATTCAAAGTCAAGAAGCAGAAGAACCTTCTGAAGAACAGGAGACAACTCGAGAAGAGTGGATGATATTATCAGACCTCAACACTCCTTTTGACAACTCTGAACAAACACCAGAGTCCACATATGACTGGCATCTTGACAGAGCCAATTATTCAGAACAACAAATCCACGAAATGCCAACATGGATAAAAACAAACAAAGACGAATACACTATTGATGAGCAATATGATGTTGTTGATATCAACAGTTTTAGTGAAATGCAAAAACTTGCTTATAATATTGTGAAGTCTCATTTTGATGATACATCATCCGAGAAAGAGCCATTATGTCTCATTATAAATGGTGTTGCAGGAACTGGTAAAAGTTACCTTATTAATGCTATTAGAAATCTTTTGCAAAGTAAATGTGCTGTTGCTGCTACCACAGGTAAAGCAGCTTTTAACATTAGAGGTGTAACTGTGCATTCTCTATTAAAGTTACCTATAGGATCAAGAGGTAATAAAGACCTAACAGGACAAAGCTTGTGTAGGTTACAAGAGAGTGTTGATAACATTGGATACATCATTATTGATGAATACTCCATGCTTGGCCAAGTTACTTTTGGTTGGATAGACAAACGTTGCAAACAAGCAACTGGTTCTAATGACAAAGTATTTGGAGGAAAATCATTGATTTTAACTGGTGATCCAGGTCAATTGCCACCAGTAGCAGATAAGCCTCTTTATCATGCTAGACCATCAAATCCTGTTGGTGAACAAGGTATCAAGCATATCATATGTTTGACAAAGTTGTTAAACTCACTGTCAATCAACGTGTGCAAGGTATGACATCTGAGCAAGTACAGTTCAGAGATTTGTTATTACGACTTCGCAAAGGGGACTCAACAGTTGATGACTGGAAGTTACTTCTGACACGTCAACCATCAAATGTCACTAATTTATGTGACTTTGAAGATTCTACTAGACTCTTTTATAGTAATGAACAAGTTGGTAATTACAACCATGAGCAGCTAACAAAACTTGAGCATCCAATTGCTCATATTAATGCTCGCCATTCATCAGCATTGGCCAAAAAGATATCCTCAGATGATATGTCTGGGTTAGAACCTGTTGTGTTTCTAGCAAAAGGTGCTAGGGTCATGTTAACCATGAATTTGTGGTCAAGTGTTGGCCTCTGCAATGGGGCTACTGGAACAGTTGTTGATATTATCTATCAGAACAACCATCAACCACCTGACTTACCTATTGCGGTAATAGTAGAATTTGAAAACTATAGAGGACCTGTTTTTAATGAAAACCAACCATTGTGTATCACTGTCACATCACAGACAGAAATAGGTTTCCATGAGAGGCAACAGTTATACCTCTTAGGCTTGCTTGGGCTCTAACAATACACAAGAGCCAAGGAATTACACTTCCAAAAGCATGGATAGATATTGGCAAATCTGAAAGAACTGCTGGAGTTTCTTATATTGCTATTAGCAGAGTAAAATCACTTGCATCTTGTGTCATTGAACCAATGACGTATGAACGATTAACAAGCTTGAAATCATCCGCTAACTTACAATATAGGCTTGAAGAAGAAAACAGGCTAGATCAGTTAGCACAGGCTACTAGCAGTGCATTTAGAACGGCAAACTATTGAGTTTGAATAAGAGAGGGATTTCATATATGGATCCCAGTTATAGTTTGGTATGTACTTTGACTATATACCCTTTTAAATAATTTAATTTATTATATAATAACTAATTTACTCCTTGTTATCACTGTATGTATGAAAATATTATGATTTGCAAGACAGAAGAAGGGTAAGTTTTTTGTTTGTTTAACCCCTCCCCCTGCCTACTTTTATTTTCCACATAAATATCTCATGCTACCAATTATTTTTTTCTATAGTTTTGCAATTCTGACGGATGTGAATGGTGCCATGTTAACTGCTGGATGAAACCGACCAAGTGGTTGTTATAGTCAAAATATAATATGGATATATTACTGTTCATCTCATGAAAATGGATAAGAGCTTCTGGATTAACAGAAATGTATTTCTATTAAAACAAGAATGCTGATTTACAAGATTGGATATATTACAATACATCTAATGCAATGGGATATGGAATCTGCCCTGTATTATTATTAAATTACTGTACTTGATTCCAATCTACCATATGGATGTCAGGGACATTGTATGTCTACTATGTCGAGATATTACATACCTTTATATGTACAGTAACCTAACAAGTTATTGGACAATATGATGGCCAACAATGGACACTACCTGTACATGCTAAATAAATACGAAACATCTGCATATTGGACAAAACACAATTAATGGCACTGTCTTGTTTACCAGTTGGAAAATACAGTAGACTATTATTACTTGGAAAGAATATGAAAACTTGCAACAAACTAATCATATCACGTTAAAAGACATTATGTTTGTTCTTCCTAATTGTGTTCTTCTAGACGTTTTGACAAGTTAAGACGGTTTAAAACATTGGTACCAACAATCACATGTGTAAATCCGAAGTACAGTTTACAGTATATAATAATTATTGCATTATTAAACAAAATAAATTTATACATACAGTGTATTTACAGTACAGTATAAGGCAATTTAAATAAATGAAGTTCTTTGGTATAATCTGAAATCAAGACTTTGGGTTGTAAGGCAGCACTTCCCTTGCGATAGTAACTTCTAGTTTAAAATAATTGACGATTCACCCGATTTTCGCACATTCTGAAGCAATCTAAACGGAAAATCAGTGCTAGTGTTATATATAAGGTCAGATATTTTTCCCTTTTGGCGTATTACACAAAGTCAAAGGACAAAGGCGAGATAAATATAAGCCTGGTATTCAGATTATGGTAGATATCGATCATTAAATACAAGTGTAGATCAAGTGTTGACCACAGGATATATTTTACCGCTACACAATTTTTACACACGCATCTCCGCTATATGTTTCATAAACCTACACCTGCATGTACTTATATTTTTTCGGTTCACAATTATACAAATGACTAGTCATTGTTTCTTTATTATTTTTTATCCTTATCCATTAAATATAACATAACTTTTATAGTCATACACTTTACAAACAACACGGGGCCACCGGGCCAGTACATGCATGCATGATCATATTTCACACTACTGCTATACTAGTACTGTTTTATTCTCTAACAACTAGAGACAGCATGTTGCTGCATAAAATTATTGCTGGGACACCAATATAATTCTCATTACTTATATCTATACTTAAAAAACTTGTGGCTAATATAGATAAATAGGTAATATAAACTTCCTTGGTATTTACTTCCTGCTGAAACAAGCTGAAACAGGATATCATGGTTATACTGCTAGTGCCAAGGTTACCTATATATAAGCTAACGTCATCAATGTGAAGACTTGTACTCAGAGATTGAGGTTGACCTGTGATTATATATCCTCCTTTTGTAAGGTAAAGTTTCATTTTATTTATATAGAATTATATGCACATATTCATATTAGACTATGTAATTCATTTATAATTTGATTTATTTAAAAATCTTAATTATTTATTGTCCGCCTATTCTACCCCCTTCGTCGGGAAGTTATAGAAGCGACGAAGGGCCTTTGCTCGAAACGTCGAAGTTTTACTCGTATTTTCCATGAGGTATTATTGTGTACTTTTTACATACATAGAGAATAATACATGGGTGCGCGAAAATACCAGATCGGCATGGTCAGAAATCACGGACGCGATTGCTCTACTTCCTTCACTAATTTGAATATCGTCGACGCACTCCTGTATAGCTTTTGCAGAATTGCAGTAAACAGTAAATTATATTACGCGATGCTGTAAATTGCAAAATAGTCGGAGAATAAGTTAGGACGTTTGCAATTTGTCTCAATTGCGGTTTGCAGAACAAAGTCTGTAGAAATATTTAGTGTAACATTTGCATGGTTTAAGTTATTGCTTATTCTGCGTTAGTCTGCGTAGCAGTCGCTTTATTTTATTGTAGGTTTTGAGGATTTTTGAATAAATGGCCAACAGCGACTAGTACGCAGGCTAATTCTGCGTTTAAGTTATTGGCGCCCAACGTAGTGACAGCAGTGCGGTATTCTTATATACAGTTAACTGAGACAAATGTCGTAAAAACTAATCTCTGCATGTCAGTGTACACTAATATTCAGGCATGAAAATGTAACATAGGCAGTAACTGAAATCAGGCCAACTACATTAATTAAATACTTTGACAGGCTTTGCTTTGCTGCCAGCGTTTGAGGCAAATAGAGTTTGTAAAAATAGAGTTTCTTATATAGAAACAACACATCGACTGCAAAGACATGAAGATTCGCATTTTCCACACGCTACTTCTTGCATTATTGGCCTCTGCAACAGTCTTTGGTTGTCCACGGAGAACAGGCGGTGGCCCTAGCATTGTAAGTATATGGTTCGGGCGCAACTTTCGCAGGAATAAGATTTCTGCAAAGGCTTTTGTTCTGAAAATTCAATTTTCCGAAAAAATTTCGATCTATTTAGTTTAAGGGACCGGTCATTATTTGTTGTGCATGTGGGGAGTTGTTACCGAAGAGAAAAGGGTTGGGTAAACAAAATTTTGAGTGAGTAAAAGGTTGGGTAAATGAAAAAGAAAACAACTCAAGGCCGGGTTGGGTATTAAAAATTCATTGTTATTTCCAAAGGCAAGGTATGGCTGACTCAAATATTAAAGACTTATAAATAGCAATGTGAACATGCAGTCATATGTCAATATACAATATGTAAATTAATGGTAGAATCCGACCTCCTCCACAGGCCATACAGCCCGTAATGAGTATGCCTGTTCGCAGGTTGAAATTTGGGACGAAGGTTTGTGTAGCTGTATTGCTGTAAGGCCACTAAGGCCTGCTGAATAACGCGGTCGATTACTTGGCTTACCGTGACAAATTTGGCTAACGTTTATTTACACCCAATTCACAACTTTAGATAACTCACATGCCTAATTATCATTGTTCTAGTATATACAGAAGCATGAGTGAATAACTCTTATACATAACTCTAATGCTTACTATAGTTACTTCTGTTCAATTCTATGCTTGTGTAAACTAGAACATCAGTAACTTGGCATGTGAGTCATCTAAATTCATAGAAATAAACGTTAGCCAAATTTGTCCATTATCACATTATACTCCTAAACGCTGGTAAAAGAGTCATTGAGTCTTATCTTTTCATTCCGAGGGGGGAGGGGAGACTGAATGCCCTTGCAGTTGCCAGGGCCGTAGCTAGACCACTAATTGGGGGGGGGGGATGCATATTCATATATTCGTGTTGTGCCCGACGAATTTCTTTTGAAAGCGATTGTTTAACGGTATGTGAACATGAACATATGAATATATAAATATATGAATATACCCCCCCCCCCCCTCATTATCGCGTCTAGCTACGGCCTACGGCCCTGGCAGTTGCCCAGTAATCCCCAGAAATATACCGGACATCAATCTGAACCAAGGGGTTGTATTCCCCTTCGACAGTTCTTATGATTCAACCAATTATATGCCATTTATACCAAATATACCATTGGGAACACTTCAACCCCAATTATAACTGTAGTGTAATCAAGAAGAAGCTCATAGATTATTTCAAATAATTAAACTTTAGGCTACAATTAGAAACAAGATTGCCAGTAAAGCTGAGAGTTATGTTGGTTCGACTCGCTGGTGTTATGCATGTTCATCAGGCCACGGTGCAAACACTAACAAATGCAACTATTTTGTTTATGACGTTGGACGTGAAGCTGGAGCAAAAATGCCAGTGCGTACATTTTCCTTGTCAGGTGGACCTGTGGGCGCCGGTGTAGGCGGCTGGGGAACAGCGTCTTCGCTAAACTATTGGACTCGTGTGTCATCTCCACAACGCGGTGACATCGTTTCTGCTCATCAGAATAATGTTTATCACGTGGGTATTTACGTTGCCTATCGAACAACAGTGTCAGCCAATAACGTGGATGTTGGAAGGAAGAACTGGCCGTACAGCGGAGGTTACTTGGGCATTGTATACTGGCGCTACACTGGCTAAACATTTCCTATCGCAAATATATGTGTAACTGAAATAACATACCAAATAGATGGACCTTAAGAATTTCGAAAAATAGAAACTTTAAGATGCACGTGTGTATTATTTTCATAATTGAGATCAATTGTTCAAATAATGAGTAATGAAAATTTAAATACTGATTTAAAAATAATACAATTATAATCTTTTTTTATAAACAGCAACGAAATGTGTTAATTGTGTGTTAATATATATATATATATATATATATATATATATATATATATATATATATATATATATATATATATATATATATATATATATATATATATTTGTGATGTTACTCTGAGTCTAAATCCACACCGGGCGAGCTTGAAAAATATGCCCGGCCACGGTGGGAAACGAACCTACGACCTTTGGAATACTAGCCCAATGCTCTGGCAACTAAGCTACGCGGTCAGGACGGTTCGAGTAAGTGTATTTCGGAACAGAATCCAGTTCCTTCGATACCAATGTAATCTACTAATATGATTTTTTCTGTGTTGGTGTTGTGTACTCAGGTGAATAATATGATGTTTGTGATGTTACTCTGAATGTAAATCCACACCGGGTGAGCTTGAAAAATATGCCCGGCCACGGTGGGAATCGAACCTTTGGAATAGGCCCAATGCTCTGCCAACTGAGCTACCGACGCGGTCAGGACAGTTCGAGTAAGTGTATTTCGGAACAGAATCCAATTCCTTCGATACCAATGTAATCTAGTGATATTATAATTTTATTTCTAACTACACTTTACATCCAACACTTTTCTAAACGTTTGATAACTACATAAATATACGAAAAGGAAAATTACGATTTTTTTTACCAACTATCATAATAAACAGCGCTTTAAACACTACAGCAATAATACAGCAACTTACCAGTAATGTTTACCGTCTAATATATTCGCTTCGGCTCTCCCATGCACAGTTTCCACTGTGGATTTAAAATATTACTTATAATATGAACAAAGAAGTAACCGTCTAAAGGCCCACACAGACCGGACGCGATTTGGGAACGCGACGCGAATTTTCAATTTTCAATGACATTTAACTTCAATATTTTTCTATGTTTTTCAAATATTCGGAACCACTTAAGCAAGTTTAGCTATTTGGTCTGCATATCTTGTAAAATTTTTATCCGTTGACGGTTTCATTTGTTTAAAAACTGAAAATTCGCGTCGCGTTGTCGAATCGCGTCCGGTCTGTATATGGGCCTTAAGGCCGTCTCTAAAGTAAAGGCCCACACAGACGGGACGCGATTCGGCAACGCGACGCGAATTTTCAGTTTTCAAAAGCAAATAAAACCGCGCGGTCTATACACTGTAAAAACTGGTAGGTTAAAATAACCTATTTGTAAAGGTTGTCACTTATATAAATAGGTTGTTTTAACCAATTGAATAGGTTATAACCAAAATAAATAGGTTAAAATAACCAATTATTTTTTGGTTGATCTCGAACATTTCGGTACAACTAATATAAATAGGTTAATTTAACCAATTGACCAAAGTAAATAGGTTAAAATAACCAATTATTTTTTGGTTAATTTTGAACAATACAACTAATATAAAAACAAGTGAAAGAAACTCTAAAGATCGATAACATTTTTATATTTATCAATGGAGTTTCATTTGTTTTAATTGTATTTTGTAAAATACTCAGTAGTTCTAAAAATTATTGTAGTTTAATAGGTTGTTATCTTGGGTGTTTAGCCGATACTGATAACAATAGCCAGGTTGTTTTAAATATTTTTATAATACTCATTCATAATACATAAACTTTGTACGTGGCAAATAATGTCAACTATTAATGAGTTAAATTATAAGCCAATAATAATTGCTCAAAAGACAAAACAGTTATAGGCAATTATAGGCAATATTAGTTCAGTACGTCATAATCTTTGTTAATAAAATTAGAAAATGCATCTTATTTTTTACATAGTTATACTGTTATAGTATACTATATACAACACTGTACAGATCTACCATTGAATTGTTTATCACAGTCATTTCAACATATAGTATATGCATTCATGCAGGAACCACACCACCATAAATCATCTTTTAATCTCCACGACTCCACATATTGGGGGGGGGGGGGTAGGCTGGCTATTTATGGGAATTAATAGTGAAAAGAGGTGGGGTTTTAGCAATTGACATGAATATACAGTTACCTAAAAAAATACTACTTTATATAGTTGGTCTGTCATAAAGTCATAAACTAAGTTTATAGTGATCTAATATATTTTCAGCAAAATGTCCTGGGGAGGGCATGTAGGGAGGTCTAGTCTCCAGATTGTTATCTTGGGTGTTTAGCCGATACTGATAACAATAGCCAGGTTGTTTTAAATATTTTTATAAATATACTCATTCATAATACATAAACTTTGTACGTGGCAAATAATGTCAACCATTAATGAGTTAAATTATAAGCCAATAATAATTGCTCAAAAGACAAAACAGTTATAGGCAATTATAGGCAATATTAATTCAGTACGTCATAATCTTAGTTAATAAAATTAGAAAATGCATCTTATTTTTTACATATTTATACTGATAGTATACTATATACAACACTGTACAGATCTAACATTGAATTGTTTATCACAGTCATTTCAACATATATAGTATGCATTCATGCAGGAACCACACCACCATAAATCATCTTTTAATCTCCACGACTCCACATGTTTGGGGGGGGGGGGGGTAGGCTGGCTATTTATGGGAATGAATAGTGAAAAGAGGTGGGGTCATCACGATAATTTGCATTCATGAGCAGTTTGAGCTCGGTCTGAGTTTAGTCAGAGCTACAGTATACCGTAAATCTCCGACTATAAGCCCCTCCGAATATAAGCCCCCATGTATAAGCCCAGGTGTGCCACATGTACTAACGCTCACCTCAATCCAAATGTAAGCCCCCCCCCCCGTATCTAAAAGTATATAAGCTCAGGGCTTATAGTTGGAGGTTTACAGTAGAGTGTATCGAAATAGGAGAATAATAATATATTATGAGAATAAGCCTGTTACACTTCTTTGAAGCATTAAGATGCTGATTAGTTGACTATTTGACTTTGTGAGACTGTGGTTACATGTATAGTATATTTAAAGATGAAACAAACACTCAAAATGAAGCCATTTAAACAGTTGGTTTTTTAGCCCTGGCTGGAATTATTTGTGATTACATGCTGCCGGGCTGAAATTTCAGCCTGGGCAGCTCAAACGTGGCTGAATAATCATGTAATAACCACTTGCTACATATGTTTTAATAGGATTTTATCCCTGGGCCAGGCTGAAACTTAGCCCTGGTAAACTCTCCATGTAATCAGCCCCATAGGGGCCACGTCCATATTTATGTTGCCACCAATAACGTCAAATCGGAAGTCAAAATACGACTGAATATCGATCAACATTATCTGGAGTGGGTGGGTGCCATGGATGAAGTGATAACATTGATTCAATGTTATTTGTGGCAACATGAATATTGTGACTTGGCCCGTAAGAGCTGTTAA